AACACATCTTGCTCTTAGCTGTGCCGCCAGCACTTCCTGCTCTCATCACCACTTTGAAGTTAGGAATTCAAGGGTTAGGTGTGCCTCCGCCACTCACCTGTAAGTCACTGGTCCTCTCTCAGCCTCATCTTGTCCACATGTAGAATGGGTTAATAAGGCTTCCCGTTCCTTGGTTACAGGGCAGCTTCAGGGATACTGGGTAAAAATCTACACCAACAGTGTTCAAAAAGTTAAAGAGGGGGGCAGGCACTGTGGTGCAGTGGAGTTAATGCCCTGGCTTGAAGTGCTGGCAGCCCATATGGGCACTGGTTCGAGACCCGGCTGCTCCACTTCCAATCCAGCTCTCTGCTATGGCCTGGGAAAGCAGTAGAGGTGGCCCAAGTCCTTAGGCTCATGAACCTGCGTGGGAGACCCGGAAGAAGCTCCTGGCTCCTGGCTTCAGACTGGCACAGCTCCGGTCACTGCGGCCAATTGGGGAGTGAACCATCGGATGGAAGACCTCTCTGTCTCTGCCTCTCCTCTCTCTGCGTAGCTCTTTCAAATAAATAAATAAATCTTAAAAAAAAAAAAATTAAAGAGGAGCTTCATGGTTTTGAGGCACTGTTCAAGGCGCAGTGGTGACTCCCCATTACACAGACCTCAGTTCAGGGGCCCACTGCCCTGGGCTGTTCATGACCTTCATCTTGACCTTGGAAGTCATCTTCTCTACTCTACCAGGGCTACCACTGCCCTCCAGTCAAGCTCACCTGGGGAGAGTTACCCAGAGCATCTCCAGTGACCACCACAAGGTGGCGTGTCATTGCCCACCTGCTGGCCCATGGACACCAGGTGCATGTACTTCAGAGAATGGGTTAGGCAGATGTACTGGATGACCAGGCCTTGGTGTGCCCGTCAGTTAGGGGAGACAAGGCATAGGAGGCCACACAGTCAGGCATCTCTAAGTCTCATGGCTCACCCGTGGTGAGAGCGTGAGTGTCCCTGAACCTCAGTACCCTCATCTGGACAAGAGATACCAGTGGCTCATGGTGGCACTGGGAGGACTAAGGACTAAGGACAACGTGATAGGCTGAGAAGAGGCAAATGCAGGGCCTGCAACATGGCAAGTGCTCACTGAAGAGCTACTGAGGACTCTCCTGGACAGTTCCACCACTGAGAAAGCGCATCCGTGGTGAGGGCTTAACTAGTAGGGTGGGGTGTGCAAATCTGGCTGTGCATGAGCTGTCTCCCATCTGGAACCTGCAGAACCACACTCTAGAGACAAAGCCCAAGGAGCTGCCACCGTGATGTGCTCCCCAACTGGGCATGACCTTGGAGACCATTCCAGTCCCAGCCCTCCCATTTCACACACAGATGAGAAACCTGAGACACCAAACAGGGTGATGACCCTGCCATGTCTACATAGCTCCAGCCTACCTTCCTACATATCCTGCCTGTTTTGTCTCCTGTAGAGGTTGAGATTCAAAACAGCTCAAACGGCAGTCCGAGCTGGCCCAGCACAAGTCTGGTCTCTGGAGCTCTTCCTAAACTTACAGGAAGAGCTGGACTGGAGAGGGGTGACTCTCAGAGGTCCACCTGTGTCCCCAGGTAAGGACAGGCCACTTATTCACAATGAGAGAACTTAAAAAAAGTTCATGGAAAATGGAATCAGAACATATACCTAGAAATTGGTGCTTTTGAGCCGGCGCCTTGGCTCACTAGGCTAATCCTCCGCCTAGCGGCGCCGGCACACCGGGTTCTAGTCCCGGTCGGGGCACCGGATTCTGTCCCGGTTGCCCCTCTTCCAGGCCAGCTCTCTGCTGTGGCCAGGGAGTGCAGTGGAGGATGGCCCAGGTGCTTGGGCCCTGCACCCCATGGGAGACCAGGAAAAGCACCTGGCTCCTGCCATCGGATCAGCGCGGTACGCCGGCCACAGCGCGCCGGCCGTGGCGGCCATTGGAGGGTGAACCAACGGCAAAGGAAGACCTTTCTCTCTGTCTCTCTCTCACTGTCCACTCTGCTTGTCAAAAAATAAAAAAAAAAAAAAAAGAAATTGGTGCTTTTATAAAACATTTTTCCATGACCTTTGTGAAGACCTCATATATGTAGTGATTTCAAAATTTTTTTTGCACCAAAATAAACAGTCTATACACTAGAAGTTGCAACTTAATGACTTCCTATGTGTTAGGATGTTTTGAATTTCATTTTACAAATTCCTAAAAGATTTCCTAGAAAGTGCAAATTTCCAGCTTCTCTGAAAACGCGAAGATTTGGCTACACAGAGCTCAGATCCCTAAAAGGGAGCAACTGGTCAGAGCTGAGCAGCAGTCGAACCCTCCAGGGGACAACAGCTTAACTCAATGCAGTCCCACACCTCCTGTTGCCATGGTTACACGGCTGGATTCAGTCACTATGTACCTGCTGGTCCTGATGGACATGCATTTGAGACATCTGCAAAGGCAGACAGACTCTGAACCCAGAAGAGCACATGGATCTGGAGCCCTGGGCCTAACTCGAACCCTAATCTGAGTATTTGCAACATGAGGCTGGAAATTAGCTGATTCTGCAGGGAAAAGGACTTCAGAACCACGTATTGTCCATTTCAGCCTTAATTGGGTCTTCAAAATCATATGCCTAGATCACCAGGAAGCTGCTAAGTAAGCAGATTCCAGGCTCCAGGCATTTTGCAACTTGCTCAGGTTTGAGAGACTTCCAGATTCAATCAGCCAGCCCTGGGAGGGCCTCTAGAGCCACCTCTGTGCTTTAAACATTCCTACCCGCCATCCAGCACGGGAACTAACAAAGTCACGGAATACCCATGAATGGGGGAGACACAAGTGAATCCTCTGGTTGATGGCAGGGAGCCAGGGGCTCTGTGGCTGATCCCCTCTAGAACTCAGGACCACCCATCAAACTCAGCTACTTCCATGGCGACAATGGGAAAACTGAAGCCCAAAGACAAGTTGGTCCAACGGGGAATGAATGCTCTTGATAAACCCAAGACTTGCCTTGTCTTGGAGCCCCCAAAACCTGGCACCTCCTGCCTTACCTGGCCTAGCACTCAGCAGATGGGGAGCGCTGCCCCTAGCCTCCACCTACCAACAGAAGAGCCCCTTCAACTTCATGCCCAACACCTTTCCCCATTCCTCCCCACCCAACTGTAGGCATCTGAGCTTAGCAAGTACCTCTCAAGCCCAAACTGACACCAGCTCTTAAGAGTGCTTCTGCTGGAACCTGGGTGTGCAGAGGGCAGGACAGAGGTCCTGGGGGGCCCCCTTCGTAGAAGAGGAGGAACCTGACATTTTCCATAATAGCTGATGCTACAGTCCCTCGGTTCTACCAATGACATCTTACCATTCCTGAAATAAGAAGCCAGCAAACCATTGATGGACTCTTCAGCACCATATGAACTAAGGTTGGCAGGTTTGCTTTTTAAAAATTCTTCCAGGGGCTGCCACCTGCAGTGCTAACATCCCATGTAGGTGCTGGTTTGAGTCCTGGCTTCTCCATTTCCAATCCATCTGTATGGAGGTAGCTGAGTTTGATGGGTGGTTTTGAATTCTAGGGGGGAATCTGAGCCGCAGAGCCCATAGCTCCCTGCCGTTGACCAGTGGATCCCTTTTCTGTGGCCTGGGAAAGCAGTGGAAGATGGTCCAAGTCCTTGGGCCCCAGCTCCCATGTGGGAGACCCAGAGGAAGCTCCTGGCTCCTGACTTCAGATCAGCACAGCTCTGGCGGTTGGGGCTGTCTGGGGAGTAAAAACAGCGGATGGAAGACCTCTCTCTGCCAACTGCCTCTCTATGGCTCTGCCTTTTGGATAAATGAATGAATCTTTAAAAAAAAAAATTTCTTCTAGTGCCTAAAATAATGGCACATCTCACAGTCGATGTGACGTGCTCAGAGAGTGAATTCTCTTTATGGAGGTGCTGGCCCCAGTGTGCAGTATGTTGCTAATTTTCATGAGACCCCTCTATGCAAGTGCCATGCTCATTCCCACTTCAGGGGGTGAGAAGACTAAGAGCCTGGGTCAGCTGCCTCCCTCCTCATGGTGGTTTGGACAATGTCAGGTGTCAGCCTGGTGACGCTCTGGTGCCCAGCTGTTTGCCCGACCACCAAGGTATTTTTTTAGATGTGATTCACAACCGGTTAACTTTAAGAAAAGAGGTTTCCCTGGATAACATGGGAGGCCCATCCAATCAGTTGAAGGTCCGAAGGACATAGATGGTTTCCTAGAGAAGGAATTCTGCCTCAAGACTAACGCAGGAATCCTGCCCTATACATTTTGAATTCAACTCTTACCTGAATTACCCGCCTGCTGGCCTGCCTGATAAATTTGGAACTTGCCAGTTGTTACAACCACACAAGCCAATTCCTCAAAATAAACTTCTTTCTCTCCCCCTCTCCTCTCTTTCTGCTACTGGTTTCCAAAGAACTCCTTTATGGTGCTGGAGCTGGGAGGCTGCTTCAGTTCAAATGCAGTCTGTCCCCTTGGAAACCCAGGCTGACATTGAATCCCCACTAGGAGATGCGATCAGGTGGGCCTTCTGGAGGTGAGAAGGGCTCTGAACCCATCAATGATTCATGCACCCTTGCAAGGAATGGCCGACTGAGCAAACGGGCTCTCTAGAGAGATGGACTGCTGAAGGAGCCAGCAGGCCAGGTCTCTCGTACTTCCTTTCCCTGCCATGCAATGCCCTGCATCTCCTGGGGACCCTGCCAGCCGGAACGCCACCAGACGCAGCCTCCTGACCTTGCGCCAGAACTGGGAGTCCAAGGAATGCTCTCTTCTTTGTAATGGGCCGCGTCTCTGGTGCTGTGTGATTAGCAACAGGAAACAGATGAAGACAGACGTCAGCCCGACGCACTCCTCTGCCTGGCTCATGTCCCCAGGGAAACCCAGCTCCGGGAAGTCAGTCTTGCTGAGCCTTCCCTCACTGCCACTCTTGAGAAGACACCACCAGCACTGACCGGAGAGAGGGCCAGAGGGGCTGGCTCCAGAGGGGACGCACAGGAAGAGGCCCCAGAGACGGAGAGCAGGTGGTGCGTTTATTGCAGGCGCCCTTTTCCGGGGGTTGGGCTGGCTGTAAAGCTCTACTAGGGCCCCCAACCCCAGAACACAGACACAACAACCTGAAATCCAATCCGGTCACACATAAATAGGAGGCAGGCCGAGAACAAAGAACAGCAACAAACGAGCGTGCGGTTTCCTATGCTAGTCTGACAAAGCAGCGGCACCCCCTCCTCGCCCAGCCTCTCGTCCCTCCGTCCTCACGTCGAGACCCAGCCTTTGCTCTGGGAAGCCTGACCACCGTCGGATCCAGCTCAGCAGTGCGCAGCTGCCTTCCTGGCGGTCCCTGCAACGGCGCCCCAGCCCGGCAACTGAGTCCGGAAAACCAAGCCGCATTCGCACAAAAGAACGAACAAAAACTGCTTCCGTGGTCCTTGGCCCCTCCTAGGTCCGAGGCATTCCCCTCATGAGGAGCACCAGCCTTGAGTCAGAACAAAAACATATTGCACATGGTTACGACAGTGTTCCTGAGATCCCCCTCGCTGCACAGCCCCAAATACTGGCTTTCCATCCAGCCAATCACGGCCAGTTGATGCTGGGCTCATTGGCCCATGTCCGGCCCCATTCCCCACATCCCAGTGCCACAAAGCACATATTCCCATTAGCTTTTGCCACCGACAAAATTCAAGGCCAAGCTGGGGTTTGACCTCATGCACCGTGAGCATGAGGTGGAGGGAGGTGGGGACAGTTGGTTTCAAAGCCTTCTCTTCCCTTCAATGACCGCCCCCTCCCCCCCACACCCCTGCAGTGATCAAAGTTCGACAGGTGCACACAGCATCCACGATGTGAAATCTTCCGGAATGGAGACCCTGGAAAGCAGTTCTCCTGATTGTATGTCTTTGTAAAGGTTGTTCTGTTGTCAGCCACAGGCCCGCCACACGTTGGGTTAAAACTTAACAGCTTGTCACGTGGGACAGGCAACGTTGCAGTGAAGTTGGTTTTTCCTCCTAAGGAATTTTTCAAGTATCACACAGTCCCTGATGTAGCTTGTAAACAGACATCTTACTGAACAGAAGGTTAGATCACTTTGGGACACAGCAGCAGCACGAGAAACAGCTAAAGGCCTGAAAAGGTTGGTTCGACGACAAACACAAGAGGATTACCCACTGTGCCTTGCAAGGCAGAGGCTCAGGTGCAACGGTACGCCCCTGTGGATGGAGCTCTGGGAAGAAAAGCACCCGAGACCGCATCTTCCATGGGCCCCGGGGACAGGGTAGGTCGCTCCTGCCTTGTCAGTGGTGTAGCTGCCATTGGCAAAGAGGAAAGAAGTCTTTGCTGCTATGAACAGGACGCGCCTGCGCCCAGCTCCCAGGCTCCTGGCCTCTTCCCAAGCCTTTCTGGATTCACTGGGCCCCGGCCGTGCATCCCAGCCACACGTGGAAGATGTTTCTCAGAGGAAGGCTCTCGGGTGAGGTATGTCATGAAATGTTTGGCTTGGGGTTAGTTTTAATTGGAAAGAGCATGGATCCCTCTGTTTCAAGGCCATGGGGGTCTGGGGGAGATGGCCTCCCAGTTGCCTTGTGTGGCTCAGCGTCCTTTCCCTCTACTTGGGTCTCCAAGGTTTACCCATGTGGCCCCAAGGCGGCTTTATCTGTCAAAACAGCCGGCGGGGAACACGTGGCTCCCGCTGAAGTAGCTGCTTCCATAGGCGGTGGTGAGGCAGTGCCTGGGCTCGGCTGTAATGGCCATCTGCATGCTCAGGGACGCAGGGACGGGCACGGGACACACATCCAGGGGCTGCAGGGCGGAGTAGGGGGCATGAAGGGACGAGGCGCTGCCCCCGGAGAGCAGGCTTCCGGCACGGTGGGCCTGCAGTGAGTCCCGATAGGCCAAGCACAGGTCCTGCACGGGGGCCTGGAACTGGGCCAGGGTGGTTGTTGGCTGGCCGAGGGTGGGGTAGGCAGGGGTCTGGAACAGCACTTGGGTGGGGGCTGAGGGCGTGCCAGGCACCATCGCCAAGGCCTGGCTCTTGACTGCGACGGCATCCTTGAGGACATTGTCATAGGCTCTGAAAGGAAAAGACCTGAGTGAGACTTGGTAGTCAAACGGCCAGACATGCGCACATGCCTCTCCCTGCCATACCGCGCGGGGCCCTGAGAGACGTGACAGCTCTGCATGGCCAGGCCCTGCCAGCCTGCACTCACTGCCTGCAGCACAGCCCCATGGCCAGACAAGCTGCTCCTGCCCCATCTCTGCAGTCAGCACCCCAGAGATAACCCGCAGTTACGAGCTGGCAGGTCGGGAGCCCATCAACGTTTCCTCGTCACTGCACTCTCAGCTCCTGGCGCTGTGCGGCGCTCCAGGGGCCCGCAAAAGCACAAAGCAGCATCATGGCCTTCCACGCTCTTCTGGGCCAGTTGCACGCCCAACTGGCTGAGTGCTTAGCTAGGAGACACTGAGTGAGTTGCCCCCAGCGGTCTCACTGACCCCATCTGAAGATGGGGATGGAAACAAACTGTTTCCATCTCAGAAAATCTTTATGCAACTTTTTGGGAAAACACAACCACCAGGGGTTTCTGTAAGCAAGAAGTGAAGAGAGGCTGCAAAAGCTGAGAAGCAACATCCCAGAGCAACGACCATCAGCTACGATGGGGCCAGGCCACGGCCAAGTACCTGGGCCCCCACCAACTCTTACACCGGGCCATGTTCTCTGGCTTCAGACACCTACAAGGCCTAGGGAGCTGGACAGGCATTTCTGGACACAAAGGCAGCCCACATCAGGGACTGAGTGGGGCCCCCTTCAGGCACACAAATGCTTTTGCTCTCACTTCAGTCCCTGGGATAGGGAGGCCAGTGACCAGGTTGTGCCACTTCCTGCTGGTGGGAGACTGGTAGACCTGGTGGAGCCATACGAGCCGTTCTGCCTTGTTTGTCCACCATGCTGCGGTCACCAGGGAGCCCTTCACTCCAGAGGAGTTTACGGTATGGGTCCATGACAGCTTCAAGCAAGTGTTTACACAACACTTTCTCTCCAACATTCCCGGGGTCCTTGCAAAGAGGCTGTGGCCTCTTCTGTGAAGCCACTCAGGCTTAGCTGGCGAAGAGGCCAGCTATGCAGCCATGTCTGAGAAAAGGAGCTTATAATGAGAATTCCTTGTGTGGTGTGATTATCCCTAACATTACACTGTAGTTTGGCTCACAGAGTTCAGATGTCTACAAGGAAATGCAGTCAACCTTTCTACTCCCTGGCTCCTTGACCTTGAAAATGCAAACCCAAAACTACTGCAAATAGGAAGGACCACCTCCCCCAACCTCACTTCTATCAGAAGCCACCAGAGTCCATTTCCCATGAGACACGATGTTTGGAGGTACCACCACTGGCCCCAGCCTCAGGCAATCACCCTTGACCATAGGGGGCCTCAGGGTCAAGGGGAACCTCAGAATTTGGGAAACACAGAAGATCAGGAGAGGAACATACACCAGCAGGATTTCAATGCACGTGCTGAGATGCTCCAGGGAGTAGTTGGAGATCCTCTGCAGATCTCTGGTCCAGTAGGGAGAAAGCTGCAGGCAAATCCTGGAGGCCCCAATGCAAGCTGCAGCGACCACAGAAGGCTGGAATTTGTAGAAGACGTGATCTGAAAGAGAACCCCACAAGGAATCAGCCTCAGAAACACCCCCACAACATCCCCTCCTCCTGCACACTCCCCAGCCCCTCAGGACCCCCATGTCTGTGCTGGGTATGAGTGGACCCGTGAATTGGTTCAAAGGCTGCTCATTGCTGTCCTTTCAATTGAAGGACAATTAGAAACTGTTCCATCTTCAAACACCTTGCTTCTCTGTCTGGGATTTCTTTCTTTCTTTTTCTTTTTCTTTTTTTTTTCTTTTTAAAAGACAGAGTGGACAGTGAGAGAGAGAGACAGAGAGAAAGGTCTTCCTTTGCCGTTGGTTCACCCTCCAATGGCCGCCGCAGCCAGCGCACTGCAGCCGCGCACCGCGCTGATCCGATGGCAGGTGCCAGGTACTTATCCTGGTCTCCCATGGGGTGCAGGGCCCAAACACTTGGGCCATCCTCCACTGCACTCCCGGGCCATAGCAGAGAGCTGGCCTGGAAGAGGGGCAACCAGGACAGAATCCGGCACCCCGACCGGGACTAGAACCCGGTGTGCCAGCGCTGCTAGGCGGAGGATTAGCCTATTGAGCTGCGGCGCTGACCCTTTTCTTTTTTTTTTAAGGTTTATTTATTTATTTGAAAGACAGAGTTACAGAGAGACAGAGGCAGAGATCGAGAGATCTTCCTTCCGCTGGTTCATGCTCCAAATGGCTGCAATGGCCAGAGCTGGGCCAATCCAAAGCCAAGAGCTTCTTCTGGGGCTCCTACATGGGCTCAGGGGTCCAAGTACTTGGGCTATCTTCCCAGGCCATCAGCAAGGAGCTGGATTGGAAGTGGAGCAGCCAGGACTCAAATCAGTACCCATATGGGAGGCTGGCACTGGAGGCAGTGGCCTCACCTGCAACGCCACAGCACTGGCCCCAATCTGGGATTTGTAAGTCAGCCTAGAGCTGTGGTTTTCCAAGTATCGTCCATGGCTCTCAGGAGGCTGCAAGGGGCTTGCTGCAGGGCTACACACAGAACCACACAGTGTAGGTCCCTTCATTGGCTGCTGTGGGGGAATGCCACACCATTTCCCAGGCTCCCTTAGGGAGTATGACTGCAGCCACTTATGGTTAAGAACAATGTCTGGGCCCACAGGAGGCACTCAGTGGAAATCTGTTGAATGAATCAGTGAGGGGCTCCACGAGCTGGTAATTCACAATTGAAACTGACACTTCACTTAGGTTTGCTAAGGAATCTTACCATCCAGCAAAGACAGCTGGCAACATAGCAAAGCTGGTACCACACACGTGCAAAGGCAAACAGGCGAACTTTCCATAGTTTTAAGGAATGACACTTGATTTACAGTGCATTACATGGTTATCTTAAATTTTTTTAAGATTTATTTGAAAGGCAAGGTGAAAGAGAGAGAAAGAGAGAAAAAGAGACCTTCCATCTGTTAGTTCACTCCCCAAATGGCCACAACAGTCAGGGCTGGGCCAGGCTGAAGCCAGGATCCAGGAATTCCACCTTGGCCTCTCATGTGCATGGTAGGGGCCCAAACTGGCTCTCTTCCACTGCTTTCCTGGGCACATTACGGGAAGCTGGTTCAGAAGCAGAAATGGTAGGACTGGAACTGGCATTCAAATATGGGATGCCAGTGTTGTAAGCCACAGCTCAACCCACTATACCACAACACTGGCTCCAGTGGTCTAAATTCTTCAGGATTTTCAATGACTTCAACTTTTGCCTTATAACGTATCCATCAGTTAGGGTAGTATTACAGCTGTAGACATAGCCACAGAGTCAGTTTCCCCAGATTCAAATCCTAGCCATGACAGTGGCCAAGTTATTTCACCTCTTACGCATCACTTCCTTCATTTGCAAAATGGGAATGACAGAAACAATTCTTTGTGTGGGGTAATGTTGGCAAAGCTCTAAACCAAGGTATCTGCACAATAAGAACTCAATGCATAGTATCACAACCACTGATAATGCTAGTCATAACTATTTTGGTTTGTGGCAGGGTATTGTGTGGTTGTATGGGCGGCATTTCTGAATCACTGTTTTCTCCTAACACCTAGATTTTAATACACTGGGAAAAGTGGGTTCCAAGGCAGAGTCCCCAAGTTGGGTTACTTTCTTTGCTAAAGCAGATGTAAACATACTCCCCTCCCTCCAGCCTATCCGTATGATGCCAACTCTTCAGAAGCGATGGATTTTTGCGAACCTGTGCTGGTTCAATCTTTTGCAGTATTCCAGGTTTCCATAAGAAAAATTACTAGCTGATCTCTGAAATTTGTAAGGTACTTTCCGCCCGTGTATAAGCTGCTGTTTATTTTACATGGCATTGGTAACACCTGTGGCAAATCTGTGCTCAGTCTTTTCTGACCTCCTTCAAAAGTGGGAATGACCTGGATACACAGGCCCCAGTGCATAAGGCAGGCCCTCTAGCATGGGCACTTGGCGCAGCAAAGATGCCACACCCTGCATCAGGGCGCCTGGGTCTGAGTGCCGGCTCTGCTTCTGATTCCAGCTTCCTGCTACTGTGTGCCCTGGGAGGCAGCAGGTAATGGTTCAAGTACTCGAGTCCCTGCTATGGGAGGGGAGACCGCGATTGAGTTCTGGGCTCCCGGTTTTCAGCCTGGCCCAGTGCTGGCTATTGGGGGCATCTGAGGAATAAACCATTGGGCAGAAGATCTTTTATCTGTCCCTCAAACAATAAGTAAAAATATAACAGAATCAGAAGGTCCCCTTTGGAGGGACATGGCCATTCGAGCCACCCAAGCCCAGCTCCTCTTCTGCCTTGGGCCCCACCGTGTCGCTGTTCTCACCTTGCAGGGTGACCTCGAGGAAGTAATGCGCGTACTCCTTGAGGCACTCTTTGGTCTTGCGGGGACAGGTGGTGGGCCAGGTGTGGCAGTGGTGGTCCTTCTGGCTGACGGAAGCCAGCAGGTAGTAGTCCAGGAAGTGGGCGGGCGTGGGCAGGCAGAGGTTCCAGCCGAAGGCCTCCAGGAGCAGCAGCTCTGTGCTCAGCAGCTCCTTCTTGGTGAGGGTGAAGCTCTGGCTGCTCAGGATCCTCGCACTGTTAATCTGCTCCAGCTTGGGCACGCGGTCTTCCCTGTCCTCAAACTTACCTGTGGAGGGAGATGGAGCAAACGTTACCGGGAGAGACTTCCGCGATCATGTCCAGCTGTGTGATCATGGTAAGGGGTCTCACCTTCTCTGTGGCTCAGCTTCCTCATGGGTCACATGGCCCTAGTACATCACAAGGCCCTTGTTAGATTCAACGAGAACATGCACATCAAATGCGCAGACCAGCACCTGAGTCGCAGAAGGCGCTGAAGAGCAGTCAGCACCAGCAGCCAGAAGCTGGGAGGAAGGGGCCCCACCTCCTGCTGGCCCTCACCAATCCAGGCTGTAATCATGACCTTGTAAATCTGACCTTGGCCCTCCAGATGTGGAAAAGCCCTTCACCGGCTCCCTGCTGTCCGCACCACTGGGGTCAAGGAACAGAGGCATTTCCATATCCAGCCCTGCCGTCCCCAGCTGTGGACTGCTCCTAGGGGCAGGGGGAGCTCCTCCTGTACGGAGGGGCAATGCCCAGGGGCTCTGGAAGGGACATGACCGCTCCACTGTGTGAGTCTCCACAGCACGGGGCTTCCCCAGCCTCGGGTTCCACACAAGGGAGACACCACCACCACCGGGCTGTGGACCTCAGCACTGGCAGTTCTTTGAACCCCTGTGTTTTCCCTGACCCCCAGCCTGAACACTCTCCCCACCCTGTCTTCATGCAGGAGAACTTGGCATGTACTAACCCTTGCAAGTCACTGCCTCCCGGAAGCCTTCCCAGACCATCTCCCAACACTCTGTACGATTCCCACTCCAGGTGGCAAGCCCCTGGAGGGCCAGGCTCCGGTCTGCTCACCTGCAGCCTGCAAGCCCAGCCTCACAGGATGCAGAGCAGCTGCTGCGTGAATGTCAGAAGAGGCGGCAAAGCACCCATCGGCGCTGATCAAGGGAGCAAGAAGCGCAGGGCTCACCCGTCTGCTCACACCTGCAGGGGCCTCTGACCCAGTTCTCACCAGCATCTCCACTTCGTGGGAGAGATAAGCAAGTCACCGCTGCAGGCTCTCTACCACAGATGCACCGCACTCCTGAGCCGGGCCTCGAGGGATGCCTCTGGGAGACCCAACACCCACTCCAGGCAGACCAGGGTCTCTGTCGTGGCAGCAGTGCGCCAAGTCGGGGCAGGATGGCACGGATGCAGCTCCTGTCTTCGCTGGGGAGGGGCTGAGCAAGCAGCTCAGCAGTGTGGGGCAGAGACCACTGCAGACCACGGGCTAGGCAGCGGACGGCAACCCGCACTCCGCCACCTTCTGGAGCCCAGTCCACCTGGAAAAGCATGGCCCCCAAAGCACACATTGTCTCCTGTCCGTGCAAAGTTAAAGCTGCCCAACGTGGAAGAGCCTTTCTCTTGTGTGATTGGAAATCTACTGGGTGGGTCTGCTGGCCTCTGGAGCCTCACACCCAACAGTCCCTTCCCAGGCACTGGATGGGGCCAAAGGGAACGCTGACCACTCCCTGCTGGGAGTACTCTTCCCAGTACCCATCTTAGAGCTCAGTTCAGAGGCCTCCTGACCTATCAAGGCGCTTCTACAGATAGTCATGGCCAGCGCCTCCTCTAAGCCCTTTGAGGACAGGAGCCGGGTCTGGCCCCTGCGCGGCTGTGCTGCTGGCTTTCAGCACCGTGCCTGGCACTGAGGCACCCTGGGAATCTTCCGGGCAGGTGCCTAGTGAATGAACGGCGCTCTCCGCACAGTGGAATTGTGAGCCACTCGATTTTTTCTGATGCTCTTTTGTGCCTTAATGTTTCTCCAACAACTGGATATTCTTTGCACAACTCATAAAGGAAGGAAAACATTTATTTTTTGTCAGATGGTCCAGGTTTCCTTGAACCTGGTGCTCAACTGAGCCAGCCTCAGCTGAAGACGCTGAACAGATAGGAGCTCTCTTTCTTGCATGGAGCAGGAGGCGGCACAGCCCTCCAGCACAGACGTGCCTTGGCCCCGGGGGCGCCACTAAGACCTCATTCGGCTTTGCTGGCACAAGCAATCTACCCCCGGCAGCAGATGGTCTCTGCCAGACTAGGCTCATCCTCTCTTCATGCTGTGCAAACCCTTCCCAGCTCTGCTCCCAGTCCAGGCGGGTCCTCTACAGGGAAAGGGCTGCGGATTATGGAGGAAGCTGGCTTGAACAGGCATCTTCAGTGCCCCACACTGGGGAAGACCTCCTGAGGCCCCACAGCCCTGCAGGCCACACCAGGCAGAGCCGGGTCTAAATCCTCAAGGAGTTTGCTGTGAACCTAACAGCACTAAACTCCACAGGCTGACTATTTGTTTACCATCTAGGAATAAGCTCCATGTGCAGATGAAATGATCAGGGAGAGTGGAAAGTGCGGGGACAGGTGTCGTGGCGCAGCAGGTTAAACCACCGTCTGCGACATTGTGATCCCGTGTGAGTGTGGGTTCCAGTCCTGGCTGCTTCAACTTCAGAAATAGCTCCCTACTAATGCGCCTGGGAACATAGAGGACAGCCCAAGTGCTTGGGCCCCTGCCACCCACATGGGGCACCTGCATGGAGTTCCAGGCTTCTGGCTTTGGCCTAGCCCAGTCCGGGCCATTGAGGCCATGTGGGGAGTAAATCAGTGGATAGATCTCTCTATCTGTCTTTAAAATAAGTAAAATAAATCCTGAAAACAAAACAAACAACAAAACAAAACAAAACAAAAAAACCCGAAAGAATGGAAAGTGCTTCTTGTGCTTCTCGCCTAGCACACGGAGGTGCTTTGTGCACCAAGCCCTGGGTCCTCATGGGTTCCTTCAGGGTCCCCGGAGGCGCGGAATAAGAAGCTGGTGGGGGATGTCAGCCTCTATTGCCCAAAAGCAGATGCAGGAGCCCCACTGTTTCCTGCTAGCTAGGCCCAGCCCAGCTCAGTCACTAGTCCCCAGCACAACACAATTCACAGCCAAAAAGATTTTATGAGTTTCCTGGTGCTGCACCTGCCCGACACACATTTCCTCCCCTCCTCCCCAGACTCCGAGTGGGGCCGGCCCTTTGTCCCCGGCCTCAGCTGCAGTGAGAACAGATGCTTGCAGGTCCTCAGCTGGGCCCCCAGGGAGGGCCAGGGGACAGAAATAGGCGACCGGGAGTCAGACAATAGCTACCACCTCGCCTCCACTCCTTGGATGCTCTTTCATTTTGAAAATGTTCAGATCCACAGGAAGGATGGAAGAACACAACAATGAACATACAAGACGCTTCCCCCAGACTTCCCAGGGCTGTTACTGAGCCACATTCACTCTGTGTTTGTGGGAACACCGGAGATCAACAGTGGCTTCATGGGAAGTTTCCGGTGGGGTGTCAGATGGGACATGCATCCACTCAAGGTCATCTTCTTATAAATCACAATGCTATTAGAAGTTCTAAGACGTCAACATTAACGCAATAACACCTTTAAAATATTCAGTCCACATCTGAGATCCTCCCCAAATGCCTTTTATCACCGCTGCTTCCTTGTCTGATCTAGGACCCAAATTCGGTTCACACACACACAGTCTGTTACACCTCTTCAGTCACCTTCATGGTTTTGGTTTTGTGGGACACTGCCTCTTGGGAAGACTCTAAGCCAGCTGTCATAAAACGTCCCACGTTCCGGATTTGCCTGTTTCTTCATGATCAGATGCAGGTTTTGACGAGAAAACTGCAGAGGTGTTGTTCTACCCTTGTTCTCAGACCCCCTCAGTTTGGCCCAGCAATACCAATGCTGTCTGACGCTTATTCACTCTTCCTGTGAAATCAATGTAACCATTGTTATTCACCTGCCAGCTGATGTCCAGGGACTCTGACCATCTTGTTTCTCAACAACCTTTAACCCCCTGGCTCGGAGCCATGGATGATCCTTGCCTAAGCTATTACAGCGGGGGTCAAAAAACTAGTTACACAAGTCCCATCGTTCCATCCACATTCGTGTTTACTTTTTTCTGTGTATTTGGGAGGAAGAGAAACAGACAGCTCCCATCTGTTGGCTCACTCCCCAGATGCCCACAACAGCTGGGGCTCGACCAGGCCAAAGCCAGCCAGGAACACCAGCCAAGTCTCCCAAGTGGGCAGCGGCCATCACTGCTGCCTCTTGGGGTCTGTAGCATTGGGAGGCTAGAACTGGAAGCCAGAGACACGAAAGGAACCCAGGTACTCTAACGTGGGACACAGGCATCTTAACTTCTAGGCTAAATGCCTGCTCCCATTCTTTTTTGATGTTCGCGTTGTCCCGAACTGGAACATAGGGGCTCTTTCAATGTACTCCTGAAATCAAAACAAGTCCCAGACCTATCGAAGTCCTCACTCCAGGTCTTGGTGGGCAGGCACACACGTGTGCCCGTGTCATTGGTGGTGGAGGTGAAGTGTGTAAGTAGCGCCTCCTACCTGCCTTTTATACACCTGGCCGGCTGGGGCACACCACCAGTCCCTGAGGCTGTTGCACAGTGGATCAACGGCGAGTGAGTCCAGCCAAGTGGCTATGCCACAGCGGCTAGACACCGTCTACCCCGTGTCACCAGGATTCTCACAGACTGCCTGCTCTTTTCCTTTACTGGCATTAAAAAAATTATGGTCAAAACCACATGACAAAAAAATTTCCCATGTGTAACTGCACAGTGCAGGGATACTAAATACACTCACAGTGTTAATGCAATGATGGCCACTGCCCAGCCACAGGACCCTTCTCTTCTGTAAAACAGAAACTCTGAATCCATGCGACACTCCCTCCCCTTCCCTCTCTAGCCCCTAGCAAACCCCATTCTAGTCTGAATGTGGCTTCTCAGATGACTGGCTTATCTTCTTCCACCTACTGTTTGGACAACCAAGCCTCCAGACAAACCAAACAGGGTTCCTGACTATTTGAATTAGGGCCAAGAGAAGTAATATTAACTACTTTAAAAAGAAAAAACCCTCACAAAATCCATTTATCAGGGAAAAATTTAAATACACTAAAAAACAAAAGGAAAAAGGGAGTGGGAGCCAGCGATGTGGTGCAGTGAGTCAAGCCACTTCCTGTGAAGTAGCCCATATGGGTGCC